ACAATGATTTCATCATGGTTATGGTGAAGTTTCCAATTTGTTAACTCAAGTTGTCACTAATTCACACTTTTTAACAGAGATTGTTGGCATCACTGTGGTCACCCACAGGCTAGCATATGCAAGGCAAGGCCTTTTTAAGGATCAATGAGTGAAATAAGAACAATTATAATGGAAAAACCTCAAAGTTTCAAGAGCAAGGTTACATATGAAGCTAGTCCAGTGTTGTTGACACATAGCAACTGTTTTATGCATGTGTTTTTATTTTATTTTCGAAAGTCTCAACACAAAGACAAATCATTTATTTTCACATGTGTATGTATTAACTTCCTGGATAAGGTTAAAAGAATATTTCTCTGGCAGTAATAGTGCAGTAAAAAGCTTTAGTGTATCTGTCAACCAGACACTCAACATCCGACCCATGTTGCAATGTAAAATCAAAAAATTTTCCTACACGAGGTTCAAGTGAAACAAATGTACCTGTGACGTTTAAAACATGACAAAATGCCACTTTGCAAATGTTCAGCTGCCTCAATGAGCTATGAAAAGCTGTTTAAATGGCTATGCTATGTATTTCAGGCGCAAAGCAGGCGCCATGTGATTTTTAACCCCCGCCGGAGATAGCTAGTGTATGTTGCCTTCTAATACATGATAAGATTCACCAGCATGGAGAAATGCATTATGTTGTCATCCCACTCCTGTTCAAATACTGTATTAAAAAGGGTTGATATCAATGCAGCAATATGTGAACCAAGTTCAATGATTCACATGATGCTTTATTGCTGTCGGGTTCTGCAGGGGGATTAAATATTGTAATCAATGATGGACTTTCAGGATGAGCATGACACTAAAACTTACCACCTTGTCTTCAAAATATGGCAATGGCTACTGTTTAAATGTTTTTTTTTAAATAAATCGTCTATCTATAAAACAACAGAAGCATTGTGGACTATGCCACAACTAGTTGTGTCCTTTCTTCTAGTTGAGGAAAGGCTAGAGATCTTTTTTCAACTAGTGAAAAAAGCTTTGTACATCAGCTGTTAAATTCCAAAGCAGAAAGTCTTACATTTTAGCATGAGGAAGCCTTCTATTCTCATTGATGTTGTTGCTGCAACAAATCTTTTGTTTACCATTGTGTGTGTGCGTGCGTGCTACCAATAGATGCCCGAGCTGCCTATCCCTACTTCAATACTTTCAGCCCAAAAGTTATCTTCCAAGTTAGCAAGCTGCTGAATCTGACTTGATACTGATGGCTATAAACCGTTCAGTATCTACCATTTTGGTAACACTTAAACTGCAATATTATTGTTTGTTGTTGGTGTTACAGTGTTTGACCAGCTTTAGCTTTATTAAACTAAAATTGTGACAAATTTCCATTCTTCAATCAATCTGAATGACTTGCGCAAGCTAATAGTAAACCTAGACAAAGATCACGTATCGCAATTGTGCAATCCTGTTAGAATTCATCACTTCTTCCAGATTTTACTTTTTCAGCAAACTATTCAGAGAAAGTGATTATAACATGCCAACTTTTATCAATAGAGCTCAATCATCAGCTGTCTAGTTATTATGGCAGATTCTTTTGCAAACAACTGGATACATGAATGATATAGGGTCTTGGCACTGTAGATTAGTATATGACATTTCACTGGACTATTTCTAAATCTTTTCACACACATTATCTTTTATTTATTCAAATTGACTGCCAAATAATTGAACCTGTGCTCTGTGTTGGTGCAGTATATCAGTGGTAGGCCAAAGAAAACACATTCAGTTACTCCTCAGTGAGATGAATGGATTACTGAGAGAGAATTATTACACAGCTGTCAATATGGACATCAGTTATTGTGATTCAAATTCATATCCGTAGCTGATCCATTATACGAGAATGTTTCAGCCAAAGCAATTCTTATAGGCCCACATATATGCCAGATAGTGTAGCATATATAATATATTTGTGAACGTGAAGTAAACTTTTTCAGTGCAAAAAAACTTTAATAATCCCGGTCAGGGCACTATCTGCATGGACTTTGCATGTTCTCCCTGTGCTTGTGTGGGGGGTTTCCTCTGGGTACTCCAGTTTCCTCACACACTCCAAAGACATGTTGGTAGATTTAATGTCTCATGTCTAAATTGGCCCAAGTATGTGTGTGTATGTATGTGGTATTAGATTAGATGGTAAGCTCCTTGAGGGCAGGAACTGATGTGAACGTGCAGCATGCAAAGCGCTCCATCATTTGTTGGCACTATATCAATACAAATAATAAATAAATTAGGAAGTAATCTATGTTACTTTTCCAACTCTTCTTTTAACACATATAAGGGAAAGGCTACACAAATACTAGGGAATAAACATGTTTATACGGTGAGGATAGAACAGGGAAGGGCTAAGCCAACTTTTAAGTTTTAGCTGCTGTTTGTATACCTGTTAGGAAGATCAACCATCACTGTACTGCATACCACTGTCACCAGAATATAAATAGGTGGAACATATTCCTGTGACACCTGTTTTGGTGACAACTGTGAAATGTTGGATTTCCTCTCACTCTGAGGGGGGAGGGACGACACACCCTACATATTGTATCGCAGGCATAATAAGGGAAGACAGACAGCAATAAAAACCTTGAGTGTATACCATATACAAAAGCAGACATGGATATGCCTATCCATGAGCTTGTTCTCAAAAGTTTCATCTCACATTTTACTAAATTTTGAACCTATTTTCCGCACTGCAGCCTAATTTGTGGACTGCAGAGCAGCATCAGAAAAGCACAGCTGTGTAGACTAGTGATTTCTGATTTTGTGTTAGTTTATTTCATTTTAATTTATGACAGATCAGATGATGGTCATATCATAATAGCTTTCCATCTATGAAGGCTCTAAAGTTTAATTAGAAGCCAAAATATGCATGCTTGTATAGTCATGTGATGGAGTCTTGTTTGTTACAGTGGCAAAGTAAGGAGAGTAACGAGAGAAATCTGAGCATATATTACTAGCCCTTAGGCCCCTTTCACACATTGTTCCAATTAGGTCCACCTGTCAGGCAAATCTGATTGGAAGCCTAATGTAACTCTGTGGGCAGCCAGCAGTATACGGACAGACCGCACTGTCCAGAGAATTCCAATACTGCAGACTTTATTGAAATTCACAGCAAATCCAGTATATCAGTGAATAAAAGTGTATAAAGCCTCTATGAATAAGCCTGTGGGTGAAACAAGTGAGAGGTTGTAGCTGGTTGGGGGTGTGCAGTGCTGGCATTTGATGCTTTATACACTTTTTTCACTGATATACTTGATTTCCTGTGAATATCAATAAAGTCTGCAGTATTGGAATTCTCTGGATAGTGCGGTCTGTTCGTATAGTGCGGTCTGTTCGTATAGGAGGAAATTGGAGTGTCCTTAAACAGGAGTTCAGAGACCTAGGTGCTAGGATGAAGGAAAGGACCTCCACGGTAGTTTTCTCAGAGATACTGTTACTCCTAGAATGAGATCCTAATAGGTTGGACTTGATGGACTAATGTCTTTATTCAACCTCAAATACTATGTAACTATGTAACTATGTATACTGCTGCATTCCAAGGTGGAGATGCACCTATTAGACCAGCACCTGGGAGTCCTGATGGTGGCTAAGGAATTGGAGCGGTGAGATTTCCTTTGGCTCTAAGGGCAGCCAGATGTAAATGTGTCTTGTTGTCTGGTTAGTTAAATTTTTTTCGTGCATTGAAGTAGGGAGGTAAAAAACTATTAATTCATACATTCATGTTACATTCATACATGGATCCCCCGCTGATAAGAACAAACGCCGCGTATATGAAAGGGGCATGAAAGGGTGAGAAATTATTGTTCAAATTCTTGCGCAATCACAGGAAGGAAATTTGGTAGGTTTGAATAATTTTTATTTTTGATTTGCACTGATCACAGTTGGTTGCAAAATGTTAGACCTTTGTCATGCTTCACTGGCAAAGACTTCTCTCAACATACTTAACATTGCATACATGTGTTGGATGAGAAATCATCATCCCAAGGATCTGATGAATAGAAATAGTCAACTAGATAAAAGAGGAGAAATGTGTCTTTAGTCCTAAAACTGGCCATACACTATGCACATTTGAGCTGGTTCTTGATTTGCGCAGTGGGTGGTGCTGTTGGCATCCATCAATCAGCTGATCGAAGGAGCTGGTCGGAAAATCTTCAAACTAACAGATCAGGTAGCTAATCAGCTGCCAGCTCTGTTCGGGTATTCTGATAGCGGCCGGTGGTTGCTGTCAGAATACAATAAAGTCAGCGGGAGAGTCCCAGAATCTGTTATATTTTCTTAATTTAGCCCACAGGTTAAATGATGAAAATATTACAGTGTATGGTCAGCTTTAGTAGTTATAGTGCAACAGTGATCACATAAATCACCAGATATATCTAACTAGACTTACTGGCAGTCCTTCAATGATACAATCAAACAGTATTACAGCTACTGGTCAATGTTGTGGTTTTTTTTGTGTTCCACAACCTAAAAAGCTTTACTAAATTATTTGTTCGGTAATATTAATACAATATTTATATATAGTAGTGATTATATACAATGGGCCTAATTTGTAAAGCCTTGACTGAAGAAAATGCTTGGTGGTTCATAGCATACACTTTATTTAAAACTTTATTTTCTAACTTAGGTAGGTACAAAATTGATTAAAAGTTGATTACTGGATTTAGATGATGCCTAACATTATGCGTTAAATGTGGAAATTGTTTTTGTAAATAAAATAAAAATTATTCATTTCAGTACAGCGCTGCATGACGGAATAAATGTCAGTTAAAGTACCGCAGCGATGAATACTGAAAAATGGCCTGGATGGGAAGGGGGTTTAACACCGCGGATGTCAACTGGTTAAAAAAAAATGTAAAAGTGAATAACTATCAGCAGCATCTCCAGAACCAGCGAAAAAATTTTAGATAATTTTTAGTAATAATGTCAACAGATTACTGCACAATAAATTTGTGTTTGCTTTGCAGACCAGGCCCAGTGGATGCTTTGGAGTATGTGGCTGGACCTCAGGCAATGTACATGGAGAGGGACCCGCCTTATTACTATGATGTTGCTGCATCAAACACTAGAGGTACTTATTCCAGGTCCAAAGTACATCAAGAAGATAACTACAGATATCCTCCATATCAGGCACCACCAACCAAAGGTCCTCTGCGTCAAGATGTTCCACCCTCACCACCGCAAAGTCATCGAATGCCTGGATATGGTACTGGAGGAAGATCAGGACAAGATCGGTACCAGTACAGAAGCCAAGATCCTAAACAGAAAAATGCCATGACTGCTGCTGTATAGTCTACATTCCAGTAAAATATGTCTGGAGTTCAACATACTATGAAATGAAAGGACATGGCCAGCTTTCAGCTGCTAACAGTGTAACCGCAAAAACTATTTTACGGTACCCCAATGGAAAGGTGTTAGAAACATAGCCTTATGTAAATCAATATCTGTTCACAGCACAGTGCAGTTTTGATGCCTTCAATCTATCTATACAAATATAGATTATAACCACGTGCATTTTGTACGGTATTTCAATTTCCTGAAGATAAAGGAATTTTAGATATTTGGAATTTTTTTACCTGATTTGTGTTCTAGCCGCAGGTGGTCAAGACATCCATGTATAAATATCCTTTACAGAATGTATCATTATTGCAAAAAGGTCTAATATGTCTGTCTGGTATTACTAGAAAAAGAGAACATTTGCTAAAACTTTCCACATAGTAGTGGGATCATGTATAAGTTAGTTACATTATATAAAATTATTACATTTAAAAGACACATGTTCCTTTTATTTACATTTATTTGAATATATATCATATTCTTCTTTTATTCTAACAGCTAAATACACAGTTGAAATAAATATATGCTCACTGTTTTAGCTGCCAAGGGATTTTGGCCAGCCATTTTTGTGATCCATTCAGAATACTCACTCTGATACTTCTTGGTTCATGATTCACATTATTGTGTTTTTGCTTGATGTGATTCCCTATGAAGTCAATGGAAATACATAAAAATGCATGTAAATGCATACATTAAGATGTGCGTCTATGCCCATCATAAACGCACGTTGATCACACATGTAAACACAATAGAAAGCATGTCAATGCACGTCAATGCACAGTATGACTTTTGTTAACATTCAATACAAGGTGCATTGGCATGACACTCATTGACATGCATGTTGATGTGTTTCCATTTATGTCAGTGGTCAAGAGGTTCACAAATCACAACACTGGATCAGAATTATGAGTCCTATGGCAAGTAAAACCGTCAACATGTAAATGTGTTGCAAATGTGTATTTAGCTGTTTGCCTGAAGTTTCACTTTAAAAATAGTTACAGATTGTTGTCATCACTTCTGCTTCTTATATATATTTTTCATAATTCATTGCTGCCAGGCGCTATTTGATTACTGAGCTGATCAGTTTGCTTTTTCGTTTCTACTCACTACCTCTGTAATAAAATGACTAATGATAAAAACTGCTGATCGAATGTCATGATCAAATGCCGTTCTCTGGAGCAGATAAATATATCAGGTTTAAGCTGTTTGGTATTTTCTACTAATGTTGTAATAACAATGTAGAAGATTGATAGTTGCAAGGTACTATATTTTATAAAGCTTTATAATGCATTTGTACAGTTTCATGTTGGAGTCATTTATAAAATTTCCTCCTATTTTTATATGCTAAATAATAGACATCAGGGCAAGCATAATAACTATGCTTACTGCTGGCAAGTTCATGCAAGGTACATATATATTTTGAGAAAACATTGATACTGGCCTGCTTGCAATAATTCTGGATGGAAAGGGATATTTAGCTGCAGTGGCATACCTTCCAAATCTGGCACCCTGGGGCAGATCATTTTTTTAATACCCCCCAAACATCAAAATAAGTTATATGTTATGTCTATTAAAGTATGAATCTCTAGTCTACACAGCTGTGCTTTTCTGATGCTGCTCTGTAGTCCACAAATTTGTCTGCATTTGTCTGCAGTGCGGATAATAGGTTCAAAATTGAGTAAAATGGGAGATGAAACTTTTGAGAACAAGCTCATGGATAGGCATATCCATGTCTGCTTTTGTATATGGTATATATAAGATTTGGAGGACAAAGCAGTTTTAATAAGCAGATACTGAACTTGTAGCATGATGTGCAGAAGCTCAAAGATGTTATCTGATGCTTAGTTACCAACATAAATAGGAGCTATGCATTGAAAGTATAAAAATTAAAAATGCGGTGAGCATAGACCACGGCCCACCAAACATTCGGCATGACCAGTACAGTGGGTGTATTGCTTGTAGTGTGGGAATTAGATAAGCCCCAACATTGGTGTCATTGGTGAATAGCAATACCCTTCATTGGTGTCATTGGCAGCAATTATAACCCTCCGCTCTGGTGTGAGTGGCTGCAATAATCGCCCCTCCATTGCTGGTCAGTGGCAAGGTGTTAAAATCCCCCTCCACCTAGCATTTGTGGTAATTGGTTGGGAGTAGATGGCACAGGAAGGGCAAGTCAACTGACATGAAGTCCTTAAACTAAAGCTGGGTATACAGAGTTACAATTTTGTTTAAAAAAAATCATTTTCAGAATGTTCATTTTATAATAATGAATGGGTCAAATCCACGATACCCAGCTTTAACCCTATAAACATAGCACACTCAATTCAGACCCCTACATTTATACCCACAAAAGGAAGTTTACCTATAGGTATAACAAACACTAATTTAATATAATCTGCTAGATGCATTATTGTTTAAAATGCATATTTAAAAGTAACTCCCCTCTATAGACACTTCTGATTAAACTGATAATCTGAGCCAGGGCAATATTGTAACTGACTTTGTAAATAACCCCATTTCTATATTTTGTTTGTACGGGGTGCTCACTGGACACTGTCAAACTTACCTGAACATGGTTCCATGCCAATCTCTCCCTCCCTTATCTAGCTGAAACTATAGTTGTACTGTTGGTTAGAGATCACTGTGCCTGACAGTTACAGCTTCTTCTTTAAGTGCCAGGTGGTGGAAAGCAGAGAGCATTCCAGCGGCCATCACACTGCTGCCACTCTGCTTGTTAGAGTTGGCCACACTTGGCCACCCTCTAAGTGGTGGTAGTTCATCCAAAAGCAGAAGAGCATGTAAGATCTGCGGCATGTATGTGATTATACATTTTAATTACCCAACAAGACATATAGAAGACACATGCAGCTATAGACAGTTGAAATCCTTAGAAGCCACTAATATAACCAAGGCCTTAAAATGACAGATGGGTCATGTTTAGTAATACATTTAAGTATCCGCACTCAAAATCAGAATATCAAGGACCAGAATCTGTAACCAAAAGAACTTGTTAATGCTTTAAACATTTCAAAAATAATAAAAAAATAACTAAAACATGAAATGGGAAAAGCTGAAAGGTACAAGCATAGTTCATGTTCAAAGTGAATTCAGCCTGCAGAATGTATTGATCCCATACTAAGTGTGCAATCAATACGTTCTGTCACAGCATGCTTTTTACAGTGAAAAATGTATCACAGCAACAAAACATTGCAAACCCCTGGCTATGCTTTTTCTTTTCTTTTTTTTTTTTCCATTTTTCTGCTGAAACTTCCCCTGCTGTTCTTTTAGTAGTATGCCTGGGATTTTAAACAGTACAGCCATTAATAAAAAAGGATGCCCTAGGGTGGGTTTTTTCTTCTCTCCATGGATGGTCAGCTTTATGGTCTGGTGAAGGGGCAGCCAAAAGCAGGGGAAGCTCAATTGGAAGAATTTGACTGTGAGTCAGACACAAAGCAGGGCAGCCAAGAAAAACAGTATGAGCCATGTCAATTTTTATTACAATAATAAGACTTGCTTTTACTCTGCTGTTCTACACACACGTTTTATTTGGCTACATAAAAAAAAATCAGCATTAGGGCAGATTACTCTTTGGGGGCCCATACCTTGAAACTCAAATGTTTCTTTTTAAGAGCAATTAACTGTATCACTGCACACCTCCATTACTTACCTTAATGAAGCCAACGCTGTTTTGCATACAGATCAAGACACACTTCAAGTAGTCAAGAAACATGCACATATGTAATGATCACATGCCTTGGAAATTTAGTTTGGTTTTCTTTGAAAAAATAAAAGTTAAACACATTAAAACGCTTGCCAAGTGATCCTATTTAAATGGCCAAAGATGTATATAGTATATAGTAAGAGAAGTGATAAGTGTATATAGTATGGCCAGTTTATCTGTAATATAATGTCTTGTATGTGCAAGGTCTGCTGAATAAGGGTAACTGTCATGTGTACAGGGGGTGTTATATCTTGTCTGTGCAAGGGCTGTTGAATAAAGGCCACGTGCAGAGGGTTTGTGTAGAGAAAGTATATCTAAAGCCAAAACATTTTATCTTTTGAATAAAGTAGGGGATGGCTAAAACCTCTGGCAGTGTTTTTTGCCAACTTTGTGCCATTGAAGAGATTTCTCTTCACTTGCTGTTGTTTAGGAAGTCAGAGAAAATCTTTCCAAATTAGTGAATCTCCATAATGAGGATACAGGCAGCACTTAAAACCTCACAATTGTTCTAAACCCCTCACTACTCAATCCAAAACTAAAACAAAAAACACTAGGAAAACTATAAGGAGTTTTAGGTGTCCAACTAAAATGGGCCCACCTTCGCTCAGCTGCCAAGCAATGTCTAAATGTCCAATCCACCCCTTCCTAGTACTGGCTCCTCCTCTGACTTGAAAACCGAGATGATCCAGGCCACATCCTGACCAGTTTGAGGCAGTCAGCCCCTTAGATCATATATTTAATTATAATGAGTGGACAGTTGACCTTCAAAATGCAAATGAGGTAGTATCAATTACAGGGGAGATCTCTTGAAGCAGTTTCTTCACCTCTCCATTGCTCTTATTTTCTCTCTTTAATTTAAAGGTAAAATGAACACAGTTTAGCAAAGTATCAGTTTGACAATATATTTAACAATATTCAAATAAAATGCCAAATAAAACCATTATGCTCTTTTACTCGGCCATAGCATTAATTGGAATTATTGTATAACTTGTAAAACTGCCAGAATTATACAAACATCTTTAGAAGGTATATACCAGGGGTAGCCAAACTCTGGGCCCCCAGCTGTGATGGAACTACAAATCCCATGAGGCATTGCAAAATTCTCACAGACATGACTCCCAGAGAGAGATGCATCATGGGATTTGTAGTTTCACCACAGCTGGAGTGCCAGAGTTTAGCTACCCCTGGTATATACCATATGTTAAGTCTTGGCATGGCCATAAACTACCCAATACTGTCCCTGGCACAGTCCAAAGCTTGGATAAAGGCAGGACTATGCCCTATCTTTACTAGGGATACAGATGCCAGATTGTACTAAGTAATTATAATTTCATAAAAGCATGTATTTATTCATAATAAACTGTTAAAACAGTGGATGATAATAAAAATGACATACATTATATTGTGTAATACCACCTATAGCCACAGATTATACAAGTAGTACAACATGATTATACAAGTAGTACAACATGATTTTCATAAGGAGCATAATACACACTTATGATTGTTGAATTCCCTTGACAGTG